TTTCCTTCCTTCCTCCCTCCCTCCCTCCCTTCCCTTCCCTTTCTCTTTGTTCCCATGGTGTTCTTTTTATCTCACCAATCCAGAAAGGAGGCAACCTTTAGCCATCCTTAGCAATGCTGCTACAAAATCCACTTCCCTTCCCCCCAGTATGCTAACATCATCCAGGACAGTCAAGATACAAGTTCTCTTATGCTTCATCAGCCATTATTTTAGAGCTAAAGCAGATAATCACATCAAGCAGGTGTGTATGTTGTAATGTTGGGAAGCATGGTTGTACCCCCTTCTCTTGTTACTAGCCAGCATTCATTCTAGCCATCTTTTTTTTTTTAACAAAATCTATAGGGATTGGTGAATAAATAGGAATCTCTCAACGTTTCCCCAATTTAAAAGCTAAAAAACTAGGTTTGTATGTGGAATACATTTCCTAAATTATTTTCTCTTTTTGTTTTCAAAATATTTCCACTAATTTCTTCCATAGCTTCTGTACTGCTCTGTATTCATTATCTCAGAATTAGCTGTTAGTGGAGCAGAAAAATAAGCTTTGTATTTACAATCTGAATATCTGTCCTTTTGTACAATGGGTTGCCACTGAAGTAGGCAAATGTGGTCTTCACTGAGATTTTGTAAGTACCTAGCAAACCCCCCTAAGTACCAAATCACTTTTGAAGAAATGCACAATGTGAGAGATTAATATTTTATTTGGGAACATGCACTTGAGAAAAGTTAACCACATTACATTGTGTTTTGTATTTTTTTTAAACTCAAGCTGATTAATCAAATGAAATATGTACACATAAAGAATGTTAAATGATACCTGGAACATTCTGTGCATAGGAAAGAAATCATCTACATATGAAGTTAGAGTATATCAGCTTTAAAAAAAAGTCTCAAGAGAAGAAACTTAAAAAGATTATTTCCAATTAAATACTCAAACCTTCAAAATGAAAAAAAAAATAATCAGGAATTCCCTTTTTTTAAAACTGCAATCCTAAATATATTTCCTTAAAGCTCAACCACAAGCAATTGGACCTGTTACCAAATAAAAATAGTTCAGATTCACTTATAAGTAAATAATTAGACCTCTTGTTTGAGGAAACAAATATGTATTATAAATCACAACCATGATACTCAATTTTTACCAATTAAAATGGTAGACTTGCATTAATTTTATCTCCCTTTCATGACATCTAATCAGGCTGTACATGTTTTGAAAATAATGCAGAAGAGATATTTTGGTATATAGGGGAGCATAGGCACAGCATTGCTTTAAAACAGCTAAATTATTTTTCAGTTTCCCAAGGAAGCCCGAAAAAAAACCTGGCTGCTTGAAAGAGGTGTTATAGCTATGCATGTTCCCGTGCACCTGTTCCAAGTCATTTTTTAAATATACACTGCCCTAGTATCCAACACATCTTTCTTAAGATCTCATGTTACATTCAGTAAACAAAGGTCTGCTTCCACATCAAATTCTATAGAGTGCAGGTTAGGAAATGTGATATTATGAAAGCATATTGTGAGAACAGGAACACAACATAGATTATTATTTTCAGTATCAATGCCAAGTTTCTTACAGCATCATAAAGAAGCTCTACTTCTGAAATGATATTCACACCGAGACATTTCTGAAATTTCAGGATGTTTACGACTGGGTTACCATATACAGGCTTGGGCTATGCAAACTTTGAAAACAATTTAGAAGGAATGTTTCACAGCACCACTCTACTATTAATTACAGCCAGCACTCCTTTTTTTCAAGCTTTTAGGTGAGCCTAAAAAAAGATGCAGCTGCTTTAATGAATCAACTCATATGACTCTTAAAGCAGTGATGTCCTTTTTCAGACTTTCAGAAATCTGAAAAAAGATATGAAAGCTTCAATAAGAGCAGAGAGGAATTGCATTTCTACTCACATAAGCTCTGAAGCATTTCTTCCAAACCATTTTTGGCATGCACAATTAATACAGATGTCAAGAATCTTCAGATGTTGTTAGGCAGTGCTCTCCAAACATTTTGGACAATAAATCCTGTAATCACTGATTACTACTCTAATGCTTTGATGGGATGTTCATTTCCAACATAAGAATATGTTCAATCTAAGGATGCTTTTTAAAAACAAGCAATCAGAAAGGACTTGAATATCTAGATGGGAGGATATCTTTTCTATTCAAGCACAAATAATAAAACACTGGAACAAATGTCTATATATATTATATTATCTTGCAAAAAGACAGAAGATAACTGGTTTCATGTATAGATAACAATTCATCGAGAATATTTTGCTGCATAGTACCTTTTAATTTTTTAACTTATACTGTGAGAACTAAAAGACCATACCTGAGAGGGGTGCCATAGTGACAGTCACTTACTGAAACATGACAAATGCAACCAACCAATGAAAGTCTTGCCCCCTTTTAATATGTGTTGCATGCACTGCACACATGTAGAAAAGGGCAGGGCTTTGATCGCCTGGTTGTACCTCTTCCCCAGTTTGAAGCAGTGGCTATCACTATGAATGCCCCTGATGGCTCGACAGACATTATTTCTGAAGCAACAATAATAGTAAGGATTAAATATTTAAAATCTCAGATTAATTCACATATTGTAATATAACTGACAGAGATTAGCAACTAGGGACTTTAGGGCTAAATCTGCCCTCTTGGCCTTTTTCCAGTTGTCAGATAATGGCAAGTTGGTTGGGTGTGGGAAGTGCTGGCTGTGACAAGTGTATGGCTAATTGGTGACTAATTGTTTCTATAATTATGCTAATTGCCATCATTCAGTTTTTCCAGCATGCACAGATCAAATCCTAAATCTGTTATTTCTGTTGCATGACTAACAGCAAAGGGACATATTTTACTGTTCTGGATATATAGGAAGTAGAGAAATGTAGCTATAAATTATCTTTTCAGCTCATCACTTCTGGAATATAGAATGCTACATCCATGGCTCTCTTAGTATGCTATAAATTATTCCAACATGTTAAAAAAAGAGATCTATAATTACGATGCAATGCAAACTTATTTAAGGCTGCTGCTTTTTTGTTTCATGCACTGAATTGAAATAATAGAATGATGGCTTATCAGAGCAATGATCGCAACAACAAATCTGTAGGTGTATGTAATTAAAAGGTATTTGTTCAAAGAATCAATCTAAAAGTATTTTAGTTCTCAGGGTCGTGAACAGAAGTTAGAAAACTGGATGCTGAAATATGAGCAATGAGTTAGTAAATTAAAATAATAATTTTGTGGGGTCATTTTCAAGCAGCCAAAAGCGTAGCCATAATTCTCTGTTCTAGCTGGAGAGTTCTGTTCCTGCCCAGACATGAGTGCTCATTTGGGCCAGTGGCAACTCAAGTTAGCTGCTATTGCAATACAGCAATTACTAACTGATTTGTTTATTTGGAAAAATATACCTTCCAACGTAAGCAAAGATCTATAGTTAAATATATGAATATGATCAGCCTAAAAATGCTCACATTAACACTATGGTGAGAAGCAATGACATTTACTGTTTTGTGACTAATACTATCTGTAGCTACTCTGGAGTCTGCTAATGCAACTAATTATGAACATTTTTAATTGTTTTACAGCATGTTGTTAGTTATTCAGATTGACTACATTTGCAGCACTTGCTTTTAATAAATGAATCAGCTTATCTGCCCTTGCTATCAATTTTAAAATACTTTGTGGCCATCTGGTAGCAGTACAACCAGCTGTACTGCATGGATTTCCCTTCTTCCTATAGTAAGAGATAAGACAGAAAAGAATTGGATGTAGCCCTTAGAAGGCTGTTTTCAAGTTGTGAGTCAGAGGAGTGGAGTTATAAACGCCCTGTCCTACTTTGAAAAAATCACTGAATATCTGGAGCCTTCTTATTTATAGAGATAAAAGAGAAATAGGCAGCCTTGTATTACACTGCACATGAAGAATTAAAGAAGGATCTTGGTTTCCAGCTTTCTAGCCAAATCAGTTCAAGGGCTTTGGACTGACCCAATGGCCTGCTACCACTTCTTGTCTCCTTAATTAGCAGAATCAGAATAAATGGTGTCAAATAAGTAATATGGAAATCATCTTACATAGGCATAATGTATACAGGAGTAGATTCAACCTTTGGAAAATGGACTGCCATGATACTCAGCTCTGAATTATTAATTTGTTTGCTTGCTTTCGTTTCATTTTTGTGTATAGTACAAGTTCCTGTAAACATTTGTCATTCCCTTTGAAAAGAGTACGGTAGGTATAAAGTGCTCTGCAGAAGGTATAGAAAAATAGGATAAAGAAATCTGCTCCAATTATTCCGGCAAATTTTAAATATAGCAACAATAACAACGATGAGAGGAGAGAAATCAGCTCTCTCCATTCTCAAAATATCTACTAAAGCTTTTAAGTACAAAAGCAACAATATAGCTATGAAAGTTCAAAACGCTATGCACAATTGTGTTGCATAAGACTCCAGTAAAGGAAATTTTATAACTTCTGTGGAGATTTGCCTTCCTTTTTTCTTTACTACATATCATGCAATATTTTTTCTCTCTTAATAACGCCCGATTTTAGCACTTCTTTCCAAATTCTGCTGACAATCACTGAAATCTCATCCACAAATGGATTGTTCATTGTCAACAGTGGCAATGAATATTCCCAATGAACTGTGTTTTCAAAAAATGAGAAAGGCTAAACGGTCTGTCGAATTAAAACTGGTACTTGACAAAACTCTTCCCCACTTTAGTGATGATTTTTTGATTATTCACTTCTGAAATGAGTAAATGAGAAGCAGCAGCAACTGACAGAAGAGTATTATTCAAACAGTACAGATTTTCAGAAAGCCACAGGTTCAAATTAAAAGATGGCTCTCAAAAAGTTTGCGAATTTGAATAAATTTCTCCACTCTGATTTTAAGGGGACTAATCGTAACTCAGGGTTCAAGCTTTAAATTTCCAAAATAGTGTTTTTCTATTTTTCAAATGGTGAATCAGAACTGTTGCCCTCAGTATTTTTCAATCTTTCATCACTCTTATCTGCAGCATCTGCACCCAGCAAGGACACACCTGCTTGCTCAGAATCATCCCCTTGATCACAAGTGACATTTTTGGAGTCCATGCTCACCAGATTGCTAGTCTCAGTTTCTTTTATTTCTGAGGAAGCTGGCAGATAGGGTGGTTCAGGGTTTAAAGATCCTATATTCAACATGCTTTCTTGAGTGTCAGCAGAACAGCTCAAGAAAGATGATATCTCTGTTTCCCTCAGGACAGATTGCAGAAGGGACAGTTCTGCTTCCTGATAATCTGTTTTAATACATTGTCCTATTTGGGAATGGTCTTCCTTTGGGAAAGAATGGAGAGAAGAAAATCCTTCTCTTATCTGGTCGGGTTGTTCACTTTCAGCATGCTCTGTTTGTGACTTCTGTTCTTCAGAGACAACATTATGAGGTGAAAGGCCTACTTTGCTCTGGTCAGATTGTCCACTTTCAATAGATGGCTTTGTTTCAGACTGGTCATAGATACTTTCATTTTTTTCATCTGAATGTGTTATGTTTGGCTCTGTGTTCAACTCTGCCCTTGAGATATCACTGAGACTCTGTTCTTCATACTTCCCAGAAGCATCCTGATGAATTATGGTGCTTCCTTCCCAAGAGCTATTTACAATATTTGTATCATCTGCTTTTACAGTGGATGGAAATGGCATGTTAAATGGCTTCTGCAACTCGCATGTTTGATACTCCTCTGCATTTATGTTGTCCTCTTTACTCGTTGCTTCTGCTTCTTCCTTTGGGTTTGAGATTCTACATTCCTGTAAATCCTGTTCTTTGTTTCCAGACTGCTCACATTCTTGTAGTTCAACAGTCCAGGTCAGCAAATTTCTAATTTCATTCACATCATCATGAACTGGATGTTCTTTCTCTTCTGCTAATCCTTTATTTTGTTTTACTGTGTTTTCACTAACATTTGTGATTGGAAGGGCTCCCTCTACAACAGTAAGTTTCTTTGGACAAAATTCGCTGCCACCAAGATCTGAACTTATTACCCCCTCTTCTTTTGTGTCAGCAGGACTACTAGCTTCAGCAGCTGAAATGCCTTCTTTGTTGTCCGCTGCCTTCCTAGCCTCATCACATTCCTTTTCTCGAGGACGTTCTTCTGTTAAGAAGACTTCATTACTTTCAAGGCCACCATCTGATTCATCCCTCAAGTTGGTGGTCGGCACTCTAACTGGGCTGGCTTGTGCTGATTCCAAAGGGGTTTTTAGATCACTCAAACTGGATACACTTTCAGAAGGTATGTTTATTTCCTCATAAAGGTTATGTTTCTTCAAATGAACAGCTTCTTTTATCACTAAGCAGGAGATGGACACAAACACACAAAGAGAAAAAATATTCAGCCATGGGTAAGAGCAAAGAAAAGTGCTGAGAACAAGGCAATACTGTCTTGAAAGAACTAGATGGAGAGAACTATCTCTTCCCAAATAATCCATAAAGTTCTTCTTTAATTGATAAAGCACCTTCCTCAGTCTGGTACCCCCAGATCTATTAGTCTACAACTCTGACAATGCCCAGTGGACATGAAGGTACAGAGTGAAGATCATATATTTTGATTTTTCAGCCCTGTTTAAAAAAACAACAACTATGGAAGAATCCAAAGACTGCTAAATGAAAAAGATCAAGGTAAAACTGCCATCTCATTGAATTGATCAATCCCATTTTTTTATTTCCCAGGACAGATTAACATGCATCTCACGAGGAGCAAAGTTACCTTTTAGGGATTCATCAAGCAATGTTTGAAACAGAATCTCTTCATAGACATTTTCAACTTGTATCACACTGTTATATTCAGCAAAAATATATTGCTCATATTCCTGAAGTACCTACAGAACAAGACACAAAATAATAATGGCTAATTAGAAAATAATACATTTACAAAAAATAATGAAGTCCAATACAAGTGAGGCTTATTAGAACATCCAAGAGTGAAAGTGTCTTAATCCATCTCTGCACCAAGACAAATTTCACTGGGAACAGCAACAAGTAAGTGCAAGTTGGCTTCTCAGAGCCTGGTAAGAGGATGTGGTTTGCAAAAAAATACTATGAGCACAGAATATCTGCACATTCTTCCTTTATTAGGAAAACAGGTGGATTTCTTAATCCTTTTGCTAACCACTCATTGATGCACCAGGAAAGCAGCTACCCATTTTCCTGATAAAGGAAGCACATGCAGCTTTTTTGCACTTAACGGTATTTTGCAGACTGCCCTCCTCTTTCTCAGGCTCCAAGAACCCACTGAAAGAAGATGCTAGCTAACTAGGTACATTTTTTATATCTCACTATCTGTTTTTAAAATATCTCACTCCTACGTATTTCTGTTTCTTAATATTCTTCTAAGAATAAGCACTGCCAGGAAGTCCATAAAGAGGTACTGTATGATTTAGTTTTTCAAATAAACATAATGCATGCTTTATACACAGGATTGTATAAGTTCTTCTAACCCATTTCTGTAGGTAAAATATGCAAGGGGTCCTTTGCAACATTTTATCTTTTTGCCCAAAATGACTTTTGATGATCTTTAAATAAATATCTCAGAAAAATCCAGATCCTTTAATACCCTAACCCTAACCCAACTGACTTTCTAAGGTCCCTTTCAATCCTTATATACTATTATTTGCTCTAACATCAGGAAGTAACTATATCCTGCACCCAACATACTCCTTTGACTTGAACCAATGAAATAAAAGACTAGCTTTTTACAACAACCTTCAGTGTTTTAGGAAGGGAGATAGGGCTTAAGCAAAACTTTGTCATATGTAATCTAGACCAGTGAAAATCAATGGGATTTAAGTTAACCATAAGTAATTTAAGACCTACCAATTTCAATTGAATCTAAGAATGACTAAGCCTGAACCCAACCCACTGTTGCTGTCTTGTCTCTATAATTTCTTCATTTCCACAGTCTTTAAAACTAAAGTGACATTGTCTGTTGACATCATTAGCACTTTAGTTTTGATTTGCAAATCTTACTCTCCTTTTGATTCAGACACTTCAGTATAGTAACCTACTGGTTTACATGTTGAAGCCAATGTCCGCTGCAGTGTGGGCAAAGTGATCTGGACCAAGGCATCCTGAAATATCCTCTTCCGGATGGTACTGCTGTCATAATCATATTGCTGCCAATTTTGTGTAAAAAAAGAATCAGGTATGAGATTTTGGATAGCCAAACACCTACTTCCCATCTTCCTCCCCCACTAAAGTACATCCACTAAAATCAGTGCACAGAATCAATAACTATCTCCATTCCTTCATGATTTGTCCGTAGGAACAAGCTTGATGTTAATAAATATTACTATTATTATTATTATGGAGGTTTTCAACAGAATAAAAACAGTACACATTTTAAGTTGAAAGTAAGAAGAATAAAGAAAAATAAGTGAAGAAGAAATAAAGAGAGAGAAAGGAAAAGGAAAAATGGGTACAAAGTTGCAAAGATCTTAAGAAGATCATAAGCCACTTCTTTGTAACAAACTTGATGTGGTTATCAGAAATACACAAGTGCTATCCCTAAAAGTTTACCATTTATTTATTCTTGGTGTGTTTATTTGTTCATTTATTCATTCATTCCCAATATTGGATGCAACTAGGTATGTAGCCTTGTATTAACAAAGAATGCATGCCTTTTACATCATCCTTCCAAGATATCCCTCCATGGGTATATGGCTTACAGTTCCAAGAATTCCCAGCACATCTAAGTACATCAAGTTGGGGAACTGTCAGCCCTACAAGGCAGACCAGACCAAGAAATAACTCGATGAAAGGCTAAAGATTAGTTTTATTTAGATTGGCTACAGTAATATAATATTGCAAGTCTGATTGTGCTCTCTCTACTCTTTCTTTTATAACTGTGCGATTTAGGGAGGTCTCCGAGATGTTTGCATACACTTTCTACATGTTCCAGACTATGTTTTCCTACTTGTCTCTTTGATAATGTTTCTCCCCTCTCTTCCTCAAATCCATCCTCTTTACTCTCTACATCAGCTCAAATTTGACTGATCTTGAAAAGCTAAGCAGGGCTGGACCTGGCTAGCATTTAATGGAAAACCATTAGAAAATATCAGAACTATAGACTGTGGAAGTTTTAAAAAATTGAAAGAAAACAATGGAAAATTACTTTTGTACTATTTCTAAGAAAACTAAGTGGACCTGCCTATTAAGCCTCCAGGAATCAAGCTTGACTCCAACAAGACTTTACCTTTTTATTTTACATAGTGGCTTTCTGAAAAGCAGATTTCTATTTAGGATGTGCAGAGACTACTTGATCTGCTCTGAAGCCCATATCCAAAATTCCATATTTGACCCAATATCTATCAGGACATTCTGGAGAGTATTTTATCCACAGGTAAGGAAGAGGTTTGGAAAAGTAGTCCTCTGACCTTCCATTGTCTAGCATAAGATAAGATAAGATCTCCTACATGCATACATATATATACCTTCCACATCTGCTAGTTGCTTTAGGGTCAATTCTATTATCTTTTTCTGGGAAAAGTGACATTAGGCTTAAGTTGCACAAATATATATACGTCCATTCAGAATTGAATTAGAATTCAGACTTCTAATTATTCAAAAGTCTAACTTCAGATTTATTAGCTCATACAACTCAGGTGTCATATAGAAATACCTTTAAATAGGATGTACTGCAGTTTTTACCCGCCAAGAACAAACCCAAGTTTTCCCTTCCTTCAGAAAGTCCTTCTTAGTGACTTCAAAATGTTAGTTGTTTTACTCTTTACTTCTCTCAATTTCCAAATGAATGTTCAGCTTCCTCTTCCCTTTTAAAAATACCATGAACTTTATTTTCCATTAAAAGCATCACTGCTCAAACACATCTTCAGTGTGCTCTTAACATATCATGATTGCCATTATCTCTATCATCCCAACACAGGTTAAAGACATACAATTAAAGGTATGTCATATTCTGCATCTACACAATGCAAATAATTATCTGTATTTTTTATTAATAGAAATACAGAGAAAATGCCTTCTTTGGATTTTATAATGAACATTATAACTCTACATTCCTACTGCTGCGAACAAGCAAAGGAAACAAATACTTTACCTTAAGGACACGAAGTTTGACCTTTTCAATGGCTGTTGCCATTTTGGTTATGTCTTTGGAGTGATTTAAACCCAACAGCTGCTCAAATGTATATACTGCATTCTCCAGAAGCTAGAAACAGATTGAAAAATAGTTGCCTTATTTATTTTCTTACAGAAGTCCATCTGCCATTAAGATCAGTCTGTCAATATCTAGTGTACATTATATGTACATAGAAATATTTATTTACATACAAGGCATGTTGGCAATATTGTTTTCTTCTTATTGCAGACATCTTTGTATTTGTGAATTACTGCATGAATTGGGTTTGTACATGAAGTCATAATGCAGTTTTTTTAGTTTATGTTTAGCATGTTGTGTAAACCCAGGCATTAGAGCTTTTAAACCATGTTCAAGAAACCATGGCTTACCATGATCTACAAACCACTTATGATTTATATCAGGAACCTTATCAGATGGGAGTGAGATCTACCTTTATGACTATGTGATTAGAGATTTGATTTGAGGTGAACTTCTCGCGTGCATTTGGGAATCCAAATCAATAGAAATCAAGAAAGGAGTGGCCCGGTACAGGTTGGCAAATAATCCAAACAGATATTAAGCTCATCAGAAGATCAGCCTGCATATCACTGATGGTCAAAATATATGTGAATCCTACCTCCTGCATGACATTATGTGTCCTCTGGATAACCAAGTCAACACTGTGGAATTTGAAGCGGCTCTTGAGGTCTTGGAGTTGCTCTTGAAGAAAGTTGACTTTTAGATAGCAAGGTTCCATTTTGACAGAGTTGTGTGGCAGATTCATCAGGTGATTCACGTTCTGTCAGAAACACAGATTGGGAAGTAGATTTCCCAGTAGTGATACGTATACCATCCATTAAAAAATTAGAGGGTTGTATAACCTGGTCAAACACAGTAGCCCTTGGTGTTATAGTAAGTGACAAACGTTTTGGAGTTCTGCTGGCATTCCTCAGTGAAGAGGAATAACTTGGCTACTTGTGGAAGGAAAGGGAAAGAAAAGAAAGCAATCCCTGAATTGGATCATCAAGTCACATGGTTGACTCATGTCTTGTGTTGCAGCTAAGTGCTAAGGTCAATTTCTGCAGGCTATTTTGTACAATAGTGGGTTTTTTTCCATACAAACATGTTGTTTCTGAGATTTTCAGGGGAATTGCATACATTTACATTTCAGGTTCCTCTTTTTTAATGTACAGATAGAAATTAAAACCAAGAGATAATGATTTGCCAAAAGCAACAGTATGAGACCTCAGTCAGACTTGGAAACCAACTGACCAAGATAAATCTAATATGCACCAGAAAAGAAATTGAAGGCTGCTGACCCCAAGTGAATCCCATCCATATAGATGGCAAACAATTTAGCATCATGGCTGCCTTACCTCGTTTAGTGTTGCAACATCATTTGTTGCTTGAAAGGTTTGGCTGATCTCATTGACCTCCTTTTCAAACAGCAGGCAGACTTCGGTGAATCCAGAGCTCACTGGCCCCATGAGTTCCTCTAGCAGAGAAGCTAAAAAGGGCTGAATACTTTCACCACAACAGATCTGGATAGGTTCAGCTATGCTCCCTGAAGATTTAAGATAAACCTGAGTTGATCTCTAAGAAGGAGTCTCTAAAGACAAACAGAAGATTTTGAACAAAAACTATTTTATGTAATTTATTACAGGTAGTCCTCACTTACTGACTGCTCATTCAGTGGCCATTTGAAGTTACAACATCACTGAAAAAGGAGATTTATGACCAGTCCTCAAACTTGTGGCCATCGCAGCATCCCCACGTCATGTGATCACAATTCAGGTGCTCAGCAACCAGCGCACATTTATGATGATCACAGTGTCCCACAGTCACATGATCACCATTCCTGACCTTCACTGCCAGCTTCCAACAAGCAATGTCAATGGAGAAGCTGGCAGGAAGTCACAAGTCGCAGTCATATGATGTCATGCTTAATGACCACAGGTGATTTGCTTCATGACCAGAGCTGGAACTGACGTCGCAGTTATATGTTTCACTTTATGACCACATCACTTAGCAACAGAGTTGCCAGTTCCAATTGCAGTTGGTGAGGTCTACCTGTAGTGACAGCCTCTAACACCCATACAAAGTGTGGATAGCAAAAGTAAGCATGTGCAAGCAAAGAGATGAGGCAATGAGAAACAAAGAGATGAGTCAAGAGAAACTGGCTTAATTTTCATTGGTTCACACTGAGTTTTGTGGGACAAAGTAAAGAAGCTACAACCAAAGTACAGTTGAAACCTGATTCCTCCAGAGACTAGTACCACCAATAAAGGAAGCTTTAGCTCTTTCCCAATGGAAGTGGCACCATCCAGATGCAAAGGATACATTAATACTTTACACCCGCTCATAATACACAGATTCTTCCTACAAATACTCAGGTTCTTCCAACAAATTCTGCCCATCTAAATTTTGAGCATTTCACTAATGTATTCTAGAAGACACTCCTATATGCCTTGGCAGAGAAAGAGAAAAATTTACAAATAGCCCCAGATTTTTTACTTGTACCTCTTTTACTTGACAGTTCATTAATGACATATGAAGTAAAAGGGATACAACAGAGTTATCAATAAACTTCTGAAAAGCCTGTTAGCAAAAATGTGATTACTTAGCAATAATAGTAAGAGGTGCACTCAAAAATTCCCTCTGGAGCTTTACAGAGCAAGCAAAGAGTTGGGATGGAATCAGATGGTTTATAAATCAAATAAATAAATCTCATTAACTTCTTTTCATTGGGCATAAGACTTGGAAAATTGATTTCTAGATTGCTGCTATTATCTGCTGTTGGGTCAATTCAATTCCCATAAGCTTTTGCAAGTTTAAAGGCCTGAATCAATCCCTCATTAAACACTGGTAATCATAACAAAAAAACACACAGATCACATGAAAGCAAGGGATATTCCGGGCCACATGTTGGATTACAGTTCAGATGTATCCAAATTGCCAAAAAGGAAAATAGCTAAGGATGAGGTCACACTCAATTTTTATTATCAAAAATAACACAACCAACACCCATCATCAATTGGCTGCAGGACTGGGAGTACTAAATTTAAATGTGTATGCACACAGAAATCATATTGTAGAAGTGCAAAATGTATAAGGAGGTGCATTTGATATACCTGAATAGCATACGCTTTAATTGAAAAACACAGTAATGAGGCTATTCCACTGTTCCAGAACACAAGGATAAAGCCACCAGCTTAAATTTGGTTAATGTAATGATGCCACCCTAACTATGCAACTAAATTTCAGAGTTAAGAAAATACAAGATAATCTTTTCCCCAGAAAGCTGAATGTTCATTTTCAGCTGTCACTTCAACAGATACCTATAATGAATAATTTGCATCAGGATGATCCCAGGTTGCATGTCATGGCAGAATATTGGAAAATCTGATAGTATTAGAATCTGCAAATCAGTTCCATCACTGAGAAAACTTTATTCACTTGAATTAGCAATAATAAATTCTTGATTGGCTGACTGACTGACTATGTGCCATGAAGTCGTTTTTGATTCCTAGCGACCAGATAGATAGATTTTCTCCATGATGATGTATCCCTAACCTGTTCTTTCAGGTCTACCAACAGTGCACTTATTGCAATTGTAACTCAGTCCATCCACCTTGCTGCTAGTCATCCTGTTCTTCTCTTTCCTTCCATTTTTCCCAGCATTAAAGACTTTTCCAGAGAGCTGGGTCTTCACATAATGTGTCCGAAATAGGATAATTTGAGCCTGGTCATTTGTGCCTCGAGTGACAACTCTGGGTTGATTTGTTTGATGATCCATTGGTTTGTTTTCTTGACTGTCTACACTATTCTCAAGAGTCTTCTCCAACACCAAAGTTCATAGACGTCAATACTCTTCCTATCCTGCTTCTTTGAAGTCCAACTTTTGCTTCCATAGAGTGTCACAGGGAATAACCATTGCTTACACAACTCTGATCTTTGTAGGTATAGACACATCACGCCATTTGAATATTTTTTCCAAGGCCTTCATGGCTGCTCTACCAAGTGCTAGTCTGTGGTGGATCGACCATATTGTAATATCATTAAAAGGGCCATAAATGTTGGCTTTCAGTCACGTTATAGATCCTCCATAGCCGGTAACTAAAAACCAACATTTATGGCCCTTTTAATGTTATTACAATATGGTAAGAATTATTTCTAATTCAAGTGATTAAAGTTCACTCAATGATGGAACTGATTTGCAGATTCTGATACTATGAGATTTTCCAATATTCTGCCATGACATGCAATCCAATTTATAGTTATTAAGAAAGAAGCCCTAATTGTTCAATGAGGCTTCATCCTGATAAATGTGCACAGAATTGCAGGCCAAAACTGAAAGTACTATTGATCATCTTCATTTGTACTGTACTGTTTACACTTTTTTGCTTTTTAACAAAATAGAATTAGATCACCTACAATATTAATAATACATTTGTTGCATCCACTAACAGGGCTATCTACTGTACTTTCCAACTCAAAGAAAAAAACCCATGCAATGCAAGCATATTATGAAATAAAGTTAGGCCCATATTACAGTATATAAATGTAGACATCTTCAAAAGGTGCAAACATAAAGAAATCTGGACTAATTTTCTTCTAGCCAGAGTGCAATCTAGGATTGTTAAGTGATACTAGACAATATTTCTATGATTATTAGAGATGAAAGGAGAGGTGGAAAAATGTTGACTGTGTAACATTCAACTTACCTTTTATTTTCCCAGCTAAAAAGTCTTTCGAAGTCACAATTTGGTCCATGTTTGAACGAATAGTCCCTTCTAGTCCTAGAGTGACCTCTTTGCATTCTTCTTTCAGAGCACCTAAACCATCTGACACCTGATTATGGACCAGGTGGTAAGTTTCTTCTAGAATCTATAACAACAAAAAGCATGAATGAAATTATTTGCCAAGTGCCATACAAACCAGCTTGCTCCAAACCAGCTTCATGAAGTAACCATCAAGTTAATGTATGCTCTTGCAATTAAAATGCAACTTTTATATAAGTGGAAAGTTCACAGTGCTTGGTTAATAGTTTTTGACTCTTGATGGCTAGTTCCAGCCACAACACATCTTGAAAGATATTAACTTCCTGGACTAAAGAAGAAACAAATGGTTTAGAAATATTTAGTGAAAAGAAGTCTGAGTTTTGCCATTTGCTAGCAAGAAACATCTTAGGGGACTGGTAGTTTCAATGCAGGTTTTAGCTAATTACTTTTATAAATAAGCTGCTTAAATGTGAAACATACTGTTAAAAAAGGTACCATCAATCTCTGAAATGTTTTACTTCTCAGAAACATATGGAAAGTAGTCTCCTTTTGTTTTAACTCAAGACTTGTTAACTTCATAGACACATCCGGTGGCTTTCTTGACAACAAAGCAGAAGTGGTTGTTATCACCTTCTTCTGGGATTTTTTTTTTTTAACTTTCTGATCAGGAAATACAATATGGTACTTACACCAAACCATGCCCGCTTACGGTCATTCCTCTTCCCTTTCATTTTAGGGAGCACCATGCTCTGAAGGCTGGGTAGGAGCTCCTCCATCACAAGGTTGCTAAGAATCTGGAAAAAGATAAAATATAACAATTTTCTATTTAGCCTCAAAAGCACTGAAATGAAGACTGGAGAATGGTTCAGATGAACAGACTTTTCATAAAGTCTTGTGCATGTGCCTGCAGTTTCTTTGGCCCTCCCTTCACTGAACAAGCAAACCAACCATTCTTTTTTCCATTAACTACAATTTCCCATTCATCCAAATGGTAAATCCAATATTAACTTTAGAGAATGAATGTCCTGTAATGTAGCAGAGATTCAAATAAATCCCTCTCATCTTACAAATAGACAAGACAGCCCACAAATCCACCTTTCCCCAATTCCACATCGTGACACCACTGTCTCAAGATGAAAACTAAATCTAACTAAATCTAACATGCAACCCTCACTGTGAGTTGGTCTAGAGATAGCTTGGGTCAGATCCATGGTTGCCATCAACTTCCAAGACACCTCCAAGCCTAGAAGACTGAGGTCCCTCAGTACCATAAGCTGAGGAACTCACTGCCAACCTGACCACAACCTAAAGCAGCTTAGGTAGGGTGGCTGCTCTGCAGCAGAAAGGTTGGTGTGCTTTCATCCTGAGAATTTTCAATGTATCATCCTAGACACAATAGCTACCACATGATTCCAAGTTCTTTAAATTCATCTTGGGAAGTAGATGAAACATAAAGCATAATACAGCCCTCCATACTGACTGGGCCAATAAAGAAGTATGGCTTGTAGAGATGTTGAGGCATGCTTTCTACAGTGTTTAAGCACAACAGAGTATCAATGGGTATAAAGGATTTCATTTTAAAGTATCCCAATGTAACCTCAAACATTTCTACAGTACTTTCCAAGAGTGTCTTTATTCAAGGAGAAACTGGGCTCAAATAATCCCCAATTATACTCCCCTGTTCGACAGAGATCTTCACTACTGAGTTTTTGTTCCAGACTGCTATGCAACCCATATGCATTTCACTATCTTCATTGCCACTGAAAGCAGAAAATTCATTCATGATTACTGTAAACCCAGTATCTACTTCAATCATATCAGTTTTGCATTGACCTTTCTTTCTTTGACTTTCAAGTTTTTAAAGAAAAACAGTTTAATATCAGTATATAACTGGAATCCAACATAAATCAAGAAGTAATATCAGTCTATGAACATTATTATAGTATTAATTGTTCTTTTTATTCTATGTCTATTCTGCACATAGTTGTAGGCTCATGATAAATAAGTTTACCACCATTACTACCCTAGTACTACATTTAACAAAATCATCAAATGGGACATTATAGTTACAAAACAAGTGTTCTTCCTTACAGCAAAACTGTCATGTGTCCATCTTCTTAGTTCTACCCCTGAACTTGATTTATTATGTGCTATCAAGTTGGTGTCAACTCTTAGCAACCATGTAGATAGATTTACAGTGCACCCATTGCCACTATAACTGAGTCCATCCACCTTGCTGCTACTCATCCTTGCTGCTGGTCATCCATCCTTTCCTTCCATCTTTCCTAGCATCCTAGTCTTCTCTAGAGAGTTAGTTCTTCACATAATGCATCTTAAGTAGGATAATTTAAGACTGATCACTTGTGCCTTAAGTGAGAACTCTGGGTTGTCTTGGTTGATGATCCATTTGTTTGTTTTCATGGCTGTCCATGGTATTCTCAGAAGTCTTCTCCAACACAGAAGTTCAAAAGCGCCAATACTCTTTCTATCTTGCTTCTTCACAATGCAACTTTCACTTCCATAGAGTGTCACAGGGAATACCATGACTTGCGGATAGCTGTTAAGCTTTTGTGGAAATAGGTCTATACTTACTAATTCCCATAGCCATGCAGAACCATGCCCTCAGAATATGCATGGCAACAGTGAGGTCCTATCAAAAATGGCATACATCAAGAACATTTCCTTGAATCTTCTGCACTGCATACCTCAAATATAGCAGATACATTGCAGTTTTTCAGCAGATACTGACTGTATTTACACATAACTTATAGCCAGGATTTGTTTGAACTTTGATTTGCTGAACAAGACAGAATCATTTCCTGAATAGCACATAAGACAAAAATAAGCCTTTATTTTGGGCTCAGACATAAAAAGCCATGTTTTAAACACAACATGATCCATAAAACAAACAATGGCTTCAAATTATAGCTTAGTGCTAAAAAAACCCATGGTTTATTTCTTAAGATGTATTGACAGACTACTTAAGCCAAGAGCATTTTGCAAACACTAAGCCAATATGTAAATTTTCCCCAAAGGTTAGAAAGTTTGAAAAATAATTGCTCTGTCATCTGTTCTTCGAGATTCTAGGAACAGCTATCAAATAGTTTAAGTTATATCAAATCTCTCAAATGGGATTGAGCAACCAATGGCCCATGTGTAGCTCCCAGCATCCATTTACAGCCCTCATTACATCCAGAGATTGTGCTACTGATCTTTGACAGCAAAATGCACAATCTTCAGTGGACCAATATTCACCTGATTTTAGAGGTGGTCTGAAATGTGAGAATGGAAGTGTCCAGCAAAATGGTCTGGCTGCCAGCCTGAAAACTCTCCAACCTTTCCAACATCAAGCACCACAGACTGAGAAAGTAAGTTGCCTTCAGTGACTGAAGAAGGTACATCCCCTCCCTTCTCTTTGCAAAGAATGAACAAAACAGCCACAACACCCAAAAGGTGTTGATTAAATTAGGACATAGTATACCATTTGGATATCCATGTGGATATTGATGTTTGAAGAAAACCTTCCCAAAATTCTTGTACACAGGCCACTGCAAAAATGATCCCTTAGGTGAGAAAACTGCCAAAAATTTATGCTCAGAGACAATATGAGGACATGATATTCACTGAAGGAACCATGAGTTACAGCATGCATCATTACTAAGAAGATAGCATAATTATCCTGGCTGGCCTCATATCCCAAAGTAAGTACCTGAATTTCATTTCCTGTAATCATTTCTGACAACCCATAATGGCCTTTCTCCTGACGGAAAAACTGGACAGCTTCTAAAAATGCTTGAGCTTCAAAGGAAGGCTGTTTGAAAGAATCTGAAAGACACAAGACACAGAAACAACCGATTTGGATGAGTAAATGTGGTACTGGTTTTCTTTCCATACCGTCTAAGGAAAAAAACCCTGAATGTTTATTCCTCTATTCATTCTGGATGTCTGGAGTTTTTTGCAGTTACTTTGTCTTTCAGTTGCAGGTATGAAATAATTTTGCTAGGCAAAGTCTCCTTTGAAACCAGACCAGACTAAGTAATGCACCACGATCATTGTTACGAGAAAGCTCAGCCTTGACATCTTGTGCTGACATTTAGCTCGCCTTTTGTTTTTGTGTTAGCATCACTCTAGCATCTTCTCTAAGAAATCTTTTGTTCTAGGAAAAGCTTCATGAGCAAAAGCCTCACAGCAGCCAAGAACAAAAAGATCCAGAGGTTAATATGCCAGTTGATCCACTTTAATTATACTTGAAATTTATTATGTTAATTGCCCCAAGAGGAATCCAGATACATGAAAATGCCTTTCTGACTACCTGGACTAGAAATTCACATTGATACTTTTAATTTGGCCACTATAAAGCTGTTACCCTCCAAAAAGTTCTCTCCAAAGTGAGGGAATAAGTTCTAAACAGCAAGTACTGCTCAGGGTAAACAAGTGTAAGATGATGCAAGTTGGCACAAAAATCCAAAACTTCACTTATTTTGGATTTTAGAAATGAGTGACCAGGAGCTTTTCCACACTGCAGTCTTTAGCTGCTTGTCTCCCACACATAAACCAGCTGCAAGTGAAGTCAGCTTAACAAATCCTTTTCTGGATTTCAACCCCTTCCTCTATTTTGCTGATATTTTGGTGATGGCTTGATATCCTGTCCAGCCTGTGCTTTAACCACAAAGGTTCTAGTTCCTTCTGGAACTTAGGCTGGAAGGGGAAATTGGCAGAACTCTGGTCAATTTCACCCAGGTTTATTTCTTTTTTTTTAAAGAAACTATCCTTTCTCTCCTGACCTCTTTAAAAAAAATAAAATAATAGACATTTCACTGATCTGCTACTAACCCTGTAAAAAGGAAGGGGGGGGGGGAATCCTGCTTTACAGAGCAGGCAATCCAGCACAAAGTGGCCATCAAATGCAGAGCATGGGGACTGGAAGGCATGCCTGCCAGAGCACACACCAGCCAATTTGAAAGGAAGCCTTTGCTGAGGATGCAGTGAGGTTCAGCAGGTGGACTGGAGTGCCCCACTTGAACCCACAGAGGAGGAAAAGCACTACTTTTGTTGCAGAACCAGAAAATTCAAAATAGGGGCAGGCTGAGGATGACGTCATCCGTCCCTCCGCTCCCCACACAGTGAATGGAGCTCATGCTGGCACAGGCAGGAAGTACATATCAGCCACTAGAAAAGGATCTTGGGATCAAAGTGGACAGTTCAATGATTTCATGGTTGAAAGCCTTAAGAAAGGAACTGAAAATAAAACAGTTAATAACACAACTGTACAAATCTATGGTGAGAACACATTTGGAAGTATTGTGTAACTGAACTTAAAGCATATACATATGCATATATGCACATATACACAAAAAGGCAATCAAAATGATTAAAGAGTTGCAGCTCCCCTACAAAGAAAGATTCTTTCACTTAGCATGAAGGAGGAGAAGGGAAGACCTGATAAAGGCAGATAAAAACATGCAAGAGAAAGAAAATGTGGCTAAATAACATTGCATGTTCTCTCAGTGTTAGAACTCCAGCTCATGCACTGAAACTTATTGCAGAGACATTCAGGACTGGCAGAAGGAAATGACTTTTCCCAGGGTGCAGTTAAACTATGAAATTTGCTACCAGCAGTTGTGGTAATAGCAGACAATCTGGATGGTTTTAAAAAGGGCCTGGACAGATTTGTGAAGAATGAGGCTATAGTGGCTACTAATTCTGATAGCTGTTTGTCACCTCTCCCATCAGGCAGTGTGCCTTGAATACTATAAAGAGAAAGTAGGAAAGGGCTATCATACCCAGTTGTCAAGCCCTGCAAGGCAGACAAATTCATGAAAAAGAACCACATGGATTTCTGGAAAGATCTTTACTGCTAGTAGGGTAAAGTATAGATCCTTGACAGCCTGCTGTAGTAATTCTCAGATTAATTTATACCTAGCATAATTAGTCCAGAGTTACTCTGAATTTCTTTCTCACCTTTCTCCCCTCCCTGGGTTGAAATGTCTTTTTTGCAATGATTCAGTTTCCACCCCCCTGTTCCCAGGGCCTGCTAGATATTCCATCACACTACTCCAGGCTTGTGAGTTTCCCAGTATATCCAGTTGGCCATTCTATGACATGGAATGCTTAACCAGATGAGCACTTGGTCAGATCTTGGAATGTTTTTCTTACCTGGTGGGAAAGAGTTGTCCCACCCTTGGCATCATCAACTGGCCAATTAGCTATGGGAAAGAACAGGGAAGTTCCATATGGCTCCCACTATAATATCAGTGGAACTGTTAAGCAAATACAAGACCTACGCCTTATTTCTGGACTCTGCATTATCATATAGACGTAGCAAACACTTGGCATTTGATGCTGCAGAGAAGAATGGAATGGTTCTTAAAGCGGATACAACCCATTCTTTTATTCACAGAGGATCTGCAATAAATGGACCACCAGGGGGCCAACTGTTGGAAGCTTCCACCAAAAGCAGGAGAGAAGTCAGATGAAGACACAAAAAGTTTTAATCACTGCAATGGTAGGACTGAGTCGCATACTTTCAAATTTAACAGTGGTGCTCATTCCTAACCACTAAGGGACAAAAGGACCAGCTAGGAGGGTGCTGGCATTTGAATGTAAGGAAGAGACAACATGCTCATCCCTCCTGCCCTAGCCATTGTCATTGGTAATAGGTCTTCTCTCACATCCACGTGCTTTTAGGGGCAGCAGTAGCACCCCTCCCTGAATCCTAAAATGACAGTGGGCATGGCTTAAGAAAAATAGCTTAGTTAGTGGATATCACTGTTTTGCTGTCTGGGTACTTATGGCAGATTCTCAAATACTAGCATAGCCAAAGACTGTTCTTTCTTCCCAAAGGTCACAAAGGAAACACACTGGTTTGAAATGTTATGAGGCTCATAGCCTCAAAGGCCAGAAAGTCTAGGACAGAATTATCAATCACTAGATTCACTTGATAGTGCAACTCTGGGTAATCAGAATGAATCAAGGCATTCAAAATGCCCATTAGTATACCACTAAAGTGGGGATTTTTTTGTTTTTTGTTTTAGTAATTGTGTAAAAATCAGTCAAGCCACATTGCAGCAAGCACTTGGCAATTTAATATATTTGGAATAACCCTTACCAATTGAGAATTCATTCTGTCACCACTGTGTTTAATCCAATCAACTTTCTGCAACCTTATTCTTTACCTCCTCTGAAGATGGAAAAAAGATCCTAAGACTAAGCATTGGAATAACAAAACATGGTTATTTGTTTCATTAGTTCATTCTAATAACTAGGGAGCTACTAAAATTTATGAGACAGCTTTGCCTGCTCCATAGCACAACACAATGACATCATCATTCCACAGGGCTGAGACAATTGATCTTTTTCTTTTTTGGGAATGAAGTATTAGCTTGATACAGTACACTGCTAGCAAAAATGAGAATATTTTGTGAGATGTGGCATCTGAACCAGAACTAAACTATCTGCACAGACTGCTTTTCTGTTCTAAATAGGAACTTAATGGAATAAGAAAAATAGGTTCTCAAGACCTTATTTTTGCACAATCTTTTGTTAATTAATTTTATCTCTCTATTCAATTTAAATGTGGGATGGGGGAATAGGAATGGCAATTATTAATGAAAACATTCAGCTACTGAGGAAAAAAAAAAAGGATCCTGATATTACAGCTGGTTATCAAAGTTTGTTTCAGCTTATGACTTGAGAGATACCGTGACCCCAAACTAGCATCTCCAAGCTTGTTCGCCCATGATTTAGTGTGACTCCATATCTTGTTATGATTAATTGATAATTCTGCTGCATATTTGAAAAGCAAGATCTTTTAGACATTGTGGAGGTTCTCAAGGGGATTTTCCTGTGATGGCTCATCAAACTCAGGTAGACAATTGATGCATTAAGCTTCTTCTTTTGTTTCTGCAAGTACAATAGCATTCTTCCTGTACAAAATCCATATGGGTAAACACGCGATCTTCTTCATAATGTAGGAAAGTTCTTAAAAGAATAAAGTCTCCTTCATATCAAGCTCAACTGACACCTTCATGAAGTTTTCTTTGCAACAGTACAGAAGGGGTTTACCTCTAACTACTTCTACAATTGTTGCTGTTGTTTGCTGATGATATCCAAGTAGTAACCAGGTCCTGCTTAACTATTTTTTAAGGTCAACCAAAGCTGTCTAGATGCTGCCCCCTGTTTGACAAGGGTAAAGATGCCCTTGAATCAAGCTCAACTTTGATAACTGCATCTATACACTTTTCTTGCCAGCTTTATGGAAGTGATTGCCACTGGGTTCTTCTGGGACATTTTTGACTTTCCAGTCTAGCCTACAGCCCTGGAATTCCTGGGCAACTGAATTTAGAATCATGCCTACATTCAAACATGCACAAATATACAGTATTCCAGGTATCTAAAATAAATCTAGTTCTCTCACAGATATGTTAGAAGTGATTGCTGTAGCATATAAGATGTAGATAGTTATGAACAATGCTTTTGTGTAGCAAAATCTTTCTTGGAGACCATTTTCACATGTACGCATACAGATGAGCAGGAGAATCATGAGGTCTTATCTTCAGAATGCAGCCAAACACACAAGAAATAATAGATAAACCAAGCAAAGTTAACTAAATTCTCACTTGGTTGTATTCCTCTTTCTAAAATCATCTAGGAAAGAAAATAAATTGGAAGCTGAAAATAAAAGTCTGAACCTTTCATCAGAATCATATGTATTCTATGCATTCACTGTTTCAGCATTTTATAAAGAAATTAGTATTCGTATCTTTCTGTCAGAAGTGAAAAAGCTGGAGAAAGTGGAAGCACAATGGATTCTCTGATGAGGGACA